AGGAGGTGAAAACAATTGTAGGCACTATAACATCTTCATCTAGAAAAAGTTGTTATAGAGAAAAAAGCAGTATTTAATTGTGTTTTCCACAACTTGCAGGTGAAGAAAGTTTGTTTTTATTTCCAAGATGGTTTGGAATTACTGATCTTCATTTATGTGATCACTATAGAGGCCTGGCATGTGCATATTAGTTATGCCAACCTATTAATATAATTTCTGGTATAAATCCGATTAGTAAATATTTCAATTATACTAAACCCTATTATACCTCAACATTTAGGCTTTCCCTACTTTGTTGTTAAATATATGCAGATTTACGGGTTTTATCTAATCTTATTAGCAATACGAAGCTGCCATATTTAGCTGAAATCCAGCATCCTAATTAAAGGCAGTAGGAGTGCAGCAAATCAGTGAGTTAAGTTGCTCTAGCTGTTTCATAATAAAGATTTGCTGTGACCAATGACATGCTGGAGAGAACCATACTAAAATCAGTGCCAAAACACTGTATATTCTCTGTTGGAAATCCTTCAGTTTCTGTGTTACTCTTTAGATTTTCATTATTAAATTGCCTTGAAAGCCATTTTCTTCGTACATTAGAAGTCTAGAGAAGCAGTTGCAGAAAATATAAACTGTTACTATCTGTATATCACGTAGCATTTGGCTACTATGTCAAGCTGATATACTGGGTTAAAAGATATCACAGGTTATAAAATACTGCAAAATGACAGCTTTTTCTTACATATATCATCGAGACTCTAGTAACGCAGTCCAGAAAAAATATACACATTATAAGTGTAGCATTCTATTACTGGCCACATACGTTCCCCCACAAGCTGTATGTGTATCCCTAAGGTGTAAATGGTAACACGTTATTAATTATTCCTCTGTAGTGCTGGTGCTGGGAGGACAGGAACGTTCATTGCTCTCAGCAATATCCTGGAGCGAGTGAAAGCTGAAGGACTTCTAGATGTTTTTCAAACTGTGAAAAGTTTACGCATGCAAAGGCCCCACATGGTGCAAACACTGGTAAAATGAGATTCTAATATGTTCTGTTATCCCTCTCCCTCACCCCCAAAAATACTTGCAACCGATAATGTACCTATTTTTGATTTTTCTTCTGTAATAAATTAAATGTGGCATGTTTCAGCCTTCTAAGTCTCCCATTCTCCAGTTTTTAGGATATATCTTTTTGTCTATCGATGCAAACATAAAATCTAGGCTGGATGTCATTGCCCACCACTCTTGCAGACTGAAATAGATTCACTAAAGTGAGGATTGTCAGGAATCCACAGAGAATTTAATATTTTGGGCCAATATATCTGACCTGGAAACACGTTTTAAGTCGGTTAAGTTTCTGGTTCAGCTATAGTGGCCCTAAATTTTAAATTCACTTTGAATTCATGTTAAATCCCATTTAATTATCACTTTAGTAAATAATGCTGGTTGGGTTCTTTTCTCCAAACAAATGTGTTTTTTTGTTTTTTTTTACCTGCACTATTTGTGCTAGCTGATTTCCCAAGTGCAATATACAGAAGATCTGTTTCAATACCATAATCAAGGGTTGGACATCTTTGGCACTCCAGATGTTGTGGAATTCACCTCCCCTGATGCTTTGCCAGCGTTATGCTTTAAAGGTATTGTGTGAAATGTAGTCCAGAACATCTGGAGTGCCAAAGGTTGTCTCCCCCTAAAGCATAGATTGTCAAAAGTCACTGCAAAATGACTTAAACTATGTTGTTGCAGTATTTTCCACAACTGGGGGAAGCTCTCGTGACATTTAATAGCGATTGTAGTGGAAACTTATTTTAAAGGGGGCTTTGCAGAGTTCTTTTCATGTGGTTTCAACCAGTTTAATGTTTAAATAATACCACAGCAATGAAATGATTGCAAATGTTGAATACATTACAGCTGCAAGTTTACACTCGATTAATCAACTACTCGGTAGATCATTACCAACCAACACGGAGCGATCTAGTTAATATGGAACTACAAATCCAAGGCTGCTAGCTAAAAAGAGAGATAATCGTTTTCTCATAGGTTATTTCCTGAGCATCATGGTACTTGTAGTTCCACTGCAGCTAGGGAGCTAGCTTTCAATTACCCAAAATATGCAGTTTATTTGAGAATACAATTACTCTAAACTTGCAGCTCTACAATAGAATGCCTAGAAATTACTATTGAATGTTAGACAAACATGCCCTCCATTTCGGATATCATTTATCTAGCTTTAAACAACTATATGATGACTATAAAAATAAAGTTTTATTATATGTATTGAAACTCATTATCATGATTTCTATTTTAACCTACGGTTTTGTTTTTTTGTTTTTTTTTTGCAGGAACAATATGAATTCTGCTATAAAGTGGTACAAGATTTCATTGACATATTTTCAGATTATGCAAATTTCAAGTAAAGGGCTTAGATGAAGTTTGGTTTTTACGTGTAACCCTGTAATATTCTGAATACATTTTAAAGTTATTTTGTCTTGGTTTTGAAAATATGCTTTTTTTTGTATGCTCTTCTGCTACCAAATCACAATGTGCTTTTGTGTTTTCTTAAATTTCTTAATCGCCACGGCATTGTGTTGTATAAAGTTCGAAAAATGCCAAACTTGATGGGAAGCAGATTTATGTATAGTAATGTATATATTTATTTATTTACAAAATAAGATGTATATTGCCATGCCATACATTTTCAAAGACTATACAGATTTCTATTTGTTTTGCTTTTTATGTGACGAATAACTGAAAAATTAAATACCGAAGGTATGTATATTCTGTACAGTTTGTTTTTTATCACTTTCCAGTACGCTTAAACATATATATACACATTACAAGTTAAATATAAGGCAAGTTAATTATCATTGTTTTATTGTTTATAAACGGTAAATTGAATTATAATACCCAACCATCTCTGTATTCTTAGCTCAATTTTCTGCATACTTACATTTGTATTCATGAGTTAATCTATATCAAGGGTTCCCAAAAGATAAAGTCACAGATGTTTTTAAACTACAGCTTCCATGATGCTTATTCATTCAAAAGCATTCTAAAGACATGCAAAGCATCATGGAAGATGTAGTTTTATAATGTCTGGCGAGCTACCTTTTGGGCATCTCTGATCTAAATGAATATATTGATCTGAATATTAGGTGTTTGGTGAGTTATCTAATTAACAAATATAAGTCCAATTAGCTTTTCATGTTCTCTCAAAACCTATCCATTACATGCCCAAATCCATGGACCCAGGTGAGACGTGCTGCATTGATTTTCTCAGCAAATGAAAGGTTTGGGATCAATGCCTGATCGGTGAATCCAAAAAGAAAAATCTCAGAAAATCCATTAATGGTTCTGAAGGACAGATCTTGTTATCTCCTTTCTATTTAAAAAAAAGTCTGCAAGCACTTACAAAGCTGAGTCGGCTTTAGTCATAGCTTTGCTAGTTTAGTGTAATTTTGAAGCATGTGTTTTTGTTCACTACAATTCAGCATATGTACCTAAGGAAAAACATTTCAACATTTCAACTCTAAAGTTAAACAAAACTGAAGCCTGCTTTCCATTTATGAATATTGTTTAATTTTCCTTTTGTGCCATGGGAAATAATATGCAACGGGAAATTAGATATTGGTCACAATAATCTAAAGATACAAAATTACTTCTGAACCAAGTCCCTATGTATATATTTTTTTAAAAGCCACTAATTAGGATGAAGACACATCACAAGCATAAGCACAGTAACAATTAAACATATAACCAATAGACTCAGGCATTCGTTTTGGAACGGACACATTTTTGTCCAAATTTCGGTTATTAATCCATTCCTCTAAAAGACGAATGAACGAATACAATTCACAACACATAAAATGAAGACCAATTTGCTTGTTGGATGTAATTTCATCCTTGCTATATGTTGTTAGTTAGTTTGGTTAATTACAAGGAGGGAGCTACTATCCTTGTAATATTTAAACATATTTAAAAACAAACCCACTCACCCTCCTCAGTCTATGGTGGTCAGTATGACCCCATATTATTACTATGGAGGTTAAATCCTCTCTCCTACCCTCTGTGGGTAAAAGGCTGCATGTCTACTAAACAGCTACCAGTTGCTTTTTGCTGTTACCGTATATACTGAAAAACAACCACTCGTCTTATACTTGAGTCACTGTCTGTATTATGGCAACTTACATTGCCATAATACAGACCAGGACCGCCGGGCTCATTACAAGCCCGACGGTCCTGTTGGGGGCTGGCAGCGAGCTGTAACTTATCTTTCCTGCAGCTCCTGTCAGCTCCCTTCTCTCTCCACCGGTCCAGTCAGCTCCCCTGTCAGCTCCCACTGTAAGTCTCGCGAGAGCCGCGGGGTCAGAGCCGTGGCAACGCTCTGCGCAGCAGTCACACCGCAAGACTTACAGTGGGAGCTGACAGGGGAGCTGACTGGACCGGAGGAGAGAGAAGTTTGCTGACAGGAGCTGCAGGAAAGGTAAGTAACAGCTCGCTGCCAGCCCCCCTCCTACACAGCCCATCCACTGGACCACAAGGGAATGAGTGCCCCCCTCCCTGGCCAGCTAACAAGCAGGGAGTGAGGGACAAAAAATATATAAATAAAAAAATAAATAATATTAAAATAAAATAAAAATATTAATATAAATGAAATAAAAAATAATAATAATAATTAAAAAAAATAATAAAAATGCCCACCCCCCACCAAGTGCATTCATACACACACTGCATTCATACACACACACTGCACTCACACACACTGCATTCATTATAAACACACACTGTAAATAAATATTCAATTAATATAATTTTTTGGGATCTAATTTTATTTAGAAATTTACCAGTAGCTGCTGCATTTCCCACCCTAGTCTTATACTCGAGTCAATAAGTTTTCCCATTTTTTGTGGGTAAAATTAGGGGTCTCGACTTATATCCGGGTCCACTTAAACTCGAGTATATACAGTATTTAAAAAAGACTAGCAGTCCAAAAGGGTAACCGATTTAAATAATTAATATGGGTGGACATAGTGTACCCCTGTATCCCGTGAGTGGGGGCTATAAGACTAAATGGGAGGGGACCTAGTGTTCCCTTCCTGCCCACACACGTGGCACTCCCTGCCAATCAGTGGCACCCCTGCCCAGTGGCACTTCATGCTTCCTGCAATTTGAATTTCCAACTATTCCCACATTAGTCAATAATCACCTCAGTGTTTTTCACTAAACTGACAATTGTTGGGAATGCAAAGTGAATTTCACATTTAAGGCCACAGCACCTGAACTAGAGCAGACTTTTTTTCCCAGTTGATCTATTTTGATCTTACGTTTCAAATTTACTCTACATTCCAGACAATTCTCCCTTTAGTAAATAACCCTGGTTGACTCTACTAGTTATGAGTGCCTAAAAACTACCAAGAAATCATTATTTAGCCATGTAACATTTGGTACAATTCATATTCTTACTGGGACATATATGTAAATTTCTCAAACAAACTAAATGCACAAGCAGCCGCAACAGAAAAAAAAAGTTTCTTAAAAGGGGAACCGTCCCTTTTAATGGAAATCACACCATTGAATAAAACAGTCAATATCACCTATGACTTGTATTGAACTTTTTTTCATACAATGCTCTGTTTCCTTTTAAAGTTATATTAAATATTTAACAATTGGCATCACAATCCAGTTCAGCACTCAGTTCCACAATATAGGTAAGTGCTGTAGTGTGGATTTCTACTTTTAAAAAATTACGAATTTATCTTGATTTATTATCATTGGCATTTATATAGCGCCAACTTATTCTGCAGCATTTTACAATATTATTAAGGGGGGAATTTCACAATCAATGAGACAATTTCAAAATGTTCCTGGAACAATAGGTAGATGACGACCCTGCTTGAAAGAATTTACAATCTAGAGATTTGAGAAGAAATTTGGAGAATCATTCGTTGCAGAAAACTGGGTTTGTTCTAAATAAAGAAAATGTAGTCTTTGCTAAGATGACATAATGATTCTTTTTTTGTGGTTGTTTGTTTTTGCACCTGTTTCATTTGTCTAAAAACAACAGAGAATGTTCGTTTAAATTTGAGACACTTTTTAAGTAGTCTCAAACAAAATATTATTTTGACCACAGACAATGTTTTAATGACATGGGTGCCATTTTAGAATAATAATTTACTGACATACATGCTGCAATATTTTTCATGAAATTAAAAGTTGATTTCTGCATTGCTTGCATATGGTATTACTAGCCTAGTAATAAATGCTTTAATGTGAGGTCCACTTCAGTTGAGTTAAGAAACACATTTTCTTAACTTGTAGTAGCTAGGGATTTTAGGTTGTACAGTTTAAACAAATAACAGAGGCACATGCACTTAGTGCTTCAATTTAAAACATTGCACTTCCATAGAAGTTCCTGAATTGAAATGGACCTTTGGTCCGGTATCTGATGCTGGACGTCCTCACACTCTGCATGAGGACATCCAGTGTCAGATTTTTCCCCATAGGAAAGCATTGATTGAATGCTTTTCTTTGGGGAGGTCAAATGCACACGCATTTGCCACGTATGCATGTTAGATCCTGCATGACGCGGGATGGAGGAGGGGGCGGAGTGTCGGCCCAGTGCCGATGGACATCGGTGCTAGGAAAAGGTAAGTAAATAAAGGGTTTGTATAGCTTTGTATTCCTGGCACTACAGTATTCCTTTAATTAAATTCTCATCAACAGGGCACACATTAGAAGACATCTGGATTTTTCACCAGTGTAAGAATTGTCAGGTATTTAAAGTGAGTTTCAAATTTAAGGCCATAATTGCCAAACTGGACAAATTCTCCAAGTCTGCTATATTTCTAGTTCTACTTTGGACTTTAATTTGACATTCACTTTGAATTCCAACAATTCTCACTTAAGTAAACAAAAACCTCCCTTCAGGCTGGCAGGAATTTAATTAATTAATGTACCAGCTTCAAGGCATTTCCGTGTTTCTTATATAATTATTAAATAGCACAGTATTAAAGCCAGTGTTTATGACGTGTTCCCTGTGTTATGCTTTACTTGACCTGGATTTAGCAAGCTTCAGCATTTCAGTATTTGCCTTTTAGGACAGAGGAAGAAAAGAGGCAGACTCACAGCTCGCTGGCACTACTAGAATGACGTTGAACGTTCTGCTGAAACGGAGATAGGAAAGATGAGTGTCCTCGTCTGTGAATGTTGATCTTTATACAGATAATACTCCAATGTACTAAGCTACTATCAAAGCAAATGCAATAGTGTCTGCAACAGAGACTGACAGCAGGTGGGGTGGATATAGGATTCACAACTGGGAGAGGAAAGAGATACAAGAAAATAATCTGAAATAATTATAAATGATGTGACAGTCGGCATCACCAGCAAGGACTAAGCGAGAATTATTTGAAACTTTCTAAACAAAAGATTTGTCACTTCAATAGGACAACCATGCCAGCCTCTAGGGAGTTTTCTTTAGTGTAACTGTGTGCAGTATGTGGATGAGATAATAAATCAAATATATAACAAAACAGATAACTGGATATAATTGTTCTCTGTTGGACAGCCAGACTATTTGTTTCAGACAGGAGTCAGGAAGATACATTTATTAATATCAGGTATTAACACTGAAGCAAACATTTATCATTACTCAGAGAGAAAGCAGAAGGTTATGCAAAACACAGGTGGTTAATGTAACTGCCAGATAATTTAGGAGAAACAAGATGGGTCGCTATTGGCAACAAATGTAAAGACGATCTACGTCCTCTGCCCATGTTTCACAACGCAGCCCGCTTACTGCCATCTATTAACACTCCACAACTGTGCTGGCACATTTTCGAGAAAATGTATAGACTGTTACATGTTGGCACAGTCACTGTTACATGTTACATAAAGAGATCTAACTGTCTGCTGTGCACTCTCAAAATACTGAGAGGGGTCTTACACACTGCAATTAAAGTGGCACAGTCACTTTTGAGCTTTTTCATAAAGACAGATAGTTTTATTTAATAAAGTGAGAATTGAAAGTGAATTTCAAAGTTAAGGTAAAAATAGCTGAACTGCAAAAAATTTCTGAGTCAGCTATGTTCTCACTTCGGCTACTCTGACGTAAACTTTGAAATTTACTTAACTTTATTCACTAAAGTGAGAATTCAGAGAGTCTACATCTACTTTGTATCATGTAATTCTTTAGCAAAAAGAGACGTGATAGGAACAAGCATCATCTTGCGGGATGTGCAGTGGATGCCCATGACACCTTATTGTGCACAAGACTGTCTATGGGAAATCCTGGTGTCATGGGATCATTCACAGACCTCATTCTGTACTCTTGCGCATGCATGAAAGTACAGTAGTGATGGTGGCTCCGAGCTGAGGAAGTCATCACAACCCAAAGGAGATAAGGGAGGCACGTTTTAAGATAAGAAAATCTGCCTATCTTCTCCACACAAGTAGACACACACAAGTAGACATGTCATTTTGTGTAGTTGTTACAAAAAAATGCAAACACTGTACAAGTTACAGTGCTGCTTTAATTGGTAGGCATTGTGCAATGCCGAACATAAAATTGCAAGTTCTAACAAAGTTATATGAATGGTCAGCTGTGTCCAGAAATTTAACTTGGCAATTTGGCAAAGGGATTGCAAAATACTATTACGTTCTACATGGATGTGAAGTGCACTTTAATGAAAAAAAAGAACCCCAGATATGCATTATATTTAATTCAGTACGCACTTTAATGAAAAAAAAGAACCCCAAGATATTCATTATATTTAATTCAGTACGCCTGACCTTTTTATAATGTAAGTTGAGTTTTATTGTTCCAAAAATAATGCTAATTTTGAACATGCACAGAACTGTTAAAGGTCACGTTCATGGAATTCAAAAGCCATTTACACTGGTTTTGTTTAATTTAACCATGCAGCACTTAAACGGTTAAATAATGTAAAAGTAATGCTTGCACACAGGTTATATGTGTTGATTTTGTGCTCGCCTGTTTCAGTCAAGCATGGATTCATAAGTAATTAAGTCATAGTTCGTTTTTTTAACTTTGCTGTAGACAATGTTTGGGCGTTCCCTGTAAGGAGATCTGACAACTACAACCTTTGCTCATTATAGTTCCTCATTATCTGCTCTCTTAAAGTAAAACTGAAGAAAGGAAAATGTAGAAACCACAGTTTCAGCTTGCACTTCCCGCCTGTCCTGTCCCCCACTCCAGCTAATCTACAAACACAGACACATACATACCAGACAGAAAGACAAAACACGCTTCAGTGAGATCAAGAAAACAAAAGGTAGTATAGTAAGAATGAAGAGCAAACAGAAGGATACAGAACATTTCTTAATATTTTTTTCACAAGTAAATTTTTAATTATAATATTTAAATCCACATGTTCTTCATTACAATATAAATATAAAATATAAATATCTAAATACATAAAATTCTAATAAAACTTTGGAACTTTCCAAAGTCATATTAGGGGTTGATTTGTATTCAATAGTGCCAGGTAAAGAGAAAAAGGGTTTTCTAAACACATTAATGAATAAGGATTAATAATATAGGAATTCATTAAGGTAATTCATACATGGATATCCTCTTGAAAAAATATAGACTAGTAATATACAAGATCAACTAAAATCAGTTTATCTAATGATTATCAGTTCTAATAATTATGGTATTTTGTTTTTTGGTTACTATATCGTAGAAGATATAGTAGCCTAGTAGACATGGATGTAGCTTATCTGGACAAGATAAATCTTGTCCAGATAAGCTACTCTATCCAACTCATATAGTAGAAACTAAGGCAGAGATTAATAAAAGTGCCAATCAGAAAAGTGGTACGAAGATGTAAAAGTTTTTTTAAAACAAATGTTTCTGGTGATTGCATTGGTTTCCATATTGATGGTGTTGGTGAATTGATAAGGTATAGCAGTGGTTCGGAACCTGAGGGGCTGCAAGCACAGCGATGGAAATATAAAAGTATGTCACATGTCTCGAACATACTTTTCTATGTACCAGATAGGTGGTTTTATGCTAAAAAAAGAGGAGAGATCAAAAGTTACATTTAGGCATATAGACTAGAGTTAAGAACTGCATTTAGGGATAATGATAATTTAAGATTATTGATAATACTTAATATTAAGGATAATATGTAGAATTTGGATTACGGTAAAGAGGATACTAAGGATTACAGTTACAGAATTAGGGATTGGGTATGTTTAGGCCATTAAGGACAGTATATGGTTTTGGGGGAAAAAGTAGAATTTAGGTTTAGTATATCAGATTAGGATCAGATGTAGAATTTACTTTTATAGGTAATATTTACATTTGGGTACAGAGACGGAATGTGAGACTTGGGATAGACGTTACGAGTGGGGAGAGCATTTAGGGTTAGTTTTAAGATTATAGTAGAAGATGGAGTTCTGGTTATTGGTGAGATTTAGAGGTAATATTTATGGTTAGGGATAATATTTAGAGTTAGGTTTAGGCATAGAATTTAGGATTAGCATTTTAGTTTAAGATTAGGTATAGGATTTATTATTAGGGATAATGTTTAATTTTTGGAATAGAAGTTAAGGACAGCGATAGATAGGTTCATAGGTGACATTTAAGATTAGGGATAGAAATTAGGGTTATGGCTATGGGTGACAATAGTATGTAGTATTTAGGGTTCATTTCCAAGATAATAAAACAGTTTGGGCATCATAACAACTTAATTCAAATTAAGTTGTTATGGTGCCAGAAAGTCCCTGGCCTTGGCTTACCTTTAAGAGTTAAACCATTCATGAATGGAGTAACCTCAAAGTCTGTGCTCCAGCACTGTTCTGCTGTGATCCCTGTCCTTCCTCTATCTGAAATTCTTTGTAACGGAAAGCTGAAGCAGCATCGCCCTTTGATACAGAATGACCATTATTTAAGTAGTACAACATAGCTAAATACATGTCTCTCTTATATAGAAACACTATAGATATTTGCAAATGGATATTCCAGCAGGGCAATACACCATGTCATACAACATGCATCATATCAAACTGCTTCCTCAAACACATCAATTACTTTATTAATTTAACCTGTACAATCCCCAAAATTAAATTTGATAAACTAGGTAAAAAAACAAAACAAAAAAAACATGCAGGTACAGCTTAAAGCTAGCAGGAGCAAAAGTCTTTAAGAAATGTTTCCAGCAACCATAAGGAATCCAACTTGTGAAAAGTCAGGATATGCTGGAATAATGTGTAAGGTTTTTGGTTTTTTAAAATATAGTATGCCAGGCACAAATACGGTACTTTAACATATCGTGTGATGTGGTGTAAATCTATCTAAACCTTTAATAAGCTGCGATTAAAAAACAAACAAAAACAAAAAAAACAAAAAAACAAAATTTTCTTCAAAAAGACTACTTCTGGCTAAAATGTTGCATGTGATATTCCTTGGAAATATCTAAAGCATCATAAAGTAAGAAACTCTCAAAGAGTTTATTCACTAAACGCAGAACTGGAGTGAGCTAAATTCAGAATGTCAAAATGTAAGACGAAAAAAAAAATTGATAGAAAATATTCCCCAATCCAGCTATGGTCACAGCTTGATTATTTTAGCCCGACTTTGAGAGTTACTCCAACCAAAAAAACTGTGTTTTCATAGAACACTTGTCTTGTTCAGAGTAACCATTTCGGTGTTGATTACCTTCCCACTCAAATAAAAAATAAAATTAAAAAAAATAAACCTAAAACTCACCTTTTATAGTGCTGAGGCCAAGTTCTACCTGCAGCTCGATCCTCTATAACTGAGGTCAAGAAGATCTGACTAAGGTGTAGATATGGGCACAAAGAGGGGAGTCATGTTGTCATTGGCTGTCTGGTGCCAGCATGCACACTAATGGCAATTTTGCACAGGATTCATATTAGCTGCCTAGCACTCTTGTGATGCAGCAGCAGAGGAGATAAACTCTATATGTACAGTGTTTCCTAGCGAAACGCTGCACATACAGATTCCAAGCACCATGATCAGTTCAAACAATTGAAGTGGTCAGAGTGCTTGGAGTTACCATTTAATTTGCAAATCGGATTTTAATTCACTACAGCTCAAAGTTCTGTGAATAATTATA